AATGACGTCGACAACAAGAAACTAGAAAATCTTGCAAAGGCACTAACTCCAGAAAAAACAAATACCGAAGGAGAAAATGCTAACAAAGATCATTCTCGTATTTCGGCAGTCGGAAATAAATACAATATCAGCAGTATACAGGTAGAAAGACAAAATTTTGTAGCCGATGGCCCTACAAGTTTTGTAATCAAACGAAACTTCAGTGGAGAAAGTGAACATTTCGCTACAAGAAAACAAACTCCAGTGAAGGATATGAAAATAAACACTCTCACTCCAAATTTTAATTACGAAAGCAAATACGAAATTCCAAGCGTAAATAACTCGTATTATGATATTGGAGTAGATTATAAGCAAAAAGTACCAACACAGTCAAAGCCCGTCCCAGTTCGGAAACCAATTGATTCAGATGGTCTTGATTACTTAAAGTACGCGGATTTTCGTCAGCAAATCTATAATGCCAACAAGGAAAGTCCACGTAGACCAACCAACGAGAAAAAAACTACTCCATGCACATTTGCAAGACCTCCAGTAAGCAGGCAAACTGAGTCACAGCCAAACTCAAAGTACAGACTAAGACTAACAAGGGATGAGCCCTGCAACTCTGCAAGAGCTAAAATGAACAAAGGCCAAGCTCCATCCACGGTGCTGAGTGCTCCTGTCAAATCGACTAAAACAGAGCCATCCCATCCTTCTCCAAAGAAGACAGAAAGTCTTACCCCGCCAGCATCAGCGCCGACGTCTCACAAAACTCATCTATCGGAACTTCCAAACGCCACTTTTGGAATGATTTCCAAATTTTTTAGCACCATCAAGCGATCGGGAGTTTTTGAACAGAGCAGCAGTGAAAATCCAAGTCAAGGTCCCGAAGCAACCAAATCTCCAGTGAATACAAATAGAAACGCCAATGCTGCTTTTGATCATTTCCAATGGGAACATGTTTCCATAAAGGTCCAAGATATGGATCGAGACAATCTGATATTTCAAAACGACAATAGTGATGACAATTTTCCAACTCTATCAATAATTAAGAAACAAAAGCAAGATGTAGAGAACAGTTACAGTGCAGCCAGTCAAAAAGACATCAGACCTATGCTGGATACTGATAGTCTGCTGTTAGATTGGGAACAGTACACAATGGAATCAGAGTTAAATTGTAATAATAACGCTGACAGCTCTATTGAACATGATAGGCGTCTCAGACAGGAAAGGAAGGAACACGAAAGCAAACAGAGAGGTGTCGGTGAACATTCGCAGTTCAGACATGCATATTATAGTCATGATAGTCAATTGGATAAAATAAGCCTATCAACTTTCGACAATGAGTTGAGTCAACGTGTGAAACAGCTCTCTTCTTCGCTGGAGAGCTGCATCAATGCAGACAGTGCTTGTAAAAATACTATGAATACACTCTTGGAATGGAATATCATACTCATGTTTGTTATAATCGCCCTGATGGTCGGGACATTTATTCCAGGAACTCTTAGCAACGCATTTGCATGTCCGCTGCCATCTTTGTCCAAGGGGCTATTCAACTACGTTTTAACTCCTTTGGGCATAGACAGAGTTTTTCAAAAGTGTTTTGGCCCAACTCATGAGTCTGTTTGGAAGTTACCATTTACACCAAAAGAGCATCACATTGGTTTGTTTTATTCTTTCGTTTACCAGGTAATTGTTCTTTCGGTCAAGCTTCTCCTCTTCATTCTTAGTGACATTCTACTCCCTCTCATGTCAGTTCCTATTTTGATAGTAGGACCGCTTCTTAGTATCTTGATGAATGCGACACTTTGCACAGTGACCACAATTGTGCAGCACCTCTACGTGTTGGTCTTCGCTGTACTGGGAGTCACTAGAGGGAGCACATCTCCAGGTCAACCTTCTGCTTCATCCGGCCAAGATTCGTATTCATCTGGTTCCGCCTATGACTCTGGATCTAGTTACGGTTCAGGCTCCAACTCTGGCTCACGATACGATTCAGGGTACAGCTCAGGCTCTAGCGGCTCCGACGAAAGCGCAGGAGAGCTGTTCAATAAGCTAAGCGAACTACAGCAATATGCTACCGTGTTCCTCTACTTGGGCCAAGACAACACGAAGAAAGAGTGTCATTATTCCTTCCTCACCGGCTTTTACCTGTGGTTAACAAACCAACGTCCAGTGGAATGTGCGTAAGAAGAAAAACAAAATACCAACTTATTTCTCGCCAGAAAATGTTGATTGTGAATGTTGTGTCTAGTTGTATTAACACCATACTCAAGAGAATGCAAAGAACTTTAGGCAGTCCTACAACTTTTGGCTACATTTACATTTTGTAAGGAGTAAGAAGACATTTTTTGTTCTCTCAATAAAAGTGCACTTGAAAACTGAGAGTTGTGTAGCTGTAGTTCTCAAGTTTATACATGAAATCGTTTTGGTGTTTCCAGTAAATACATAAGGGTTATTCCAAAAGAAAAAAAACTGAGCTTCTAAGATGTATTTTTTAAAAATGTAGTTTGGGAGGGTGACGTGGAGAAACGAGAGAACCCCTGTCCATAAAAAACTAAAAAAAAAAAAAAAACCCAACAAAAAAACGTTTATCTCTAGATTTTTTTTGTTTCAAAACTGTGTGTGCTAAAAATGTACCCTAACTAATGTTTATGTTTGTGCTACACTCTGTGCAATTCTACCCCAATAGAGTCTCCCACGTAGTCTAGCCACTAAGAAAACCACACATTTTTGTTTTCTAATTTCTAGAGAGCATCTACTAGCTACTGATGAGTATTGGTTGTTGATTTGTTTGTTGTGTGACACGAAAGGCCAAAAACGTTTTGAAAGTAAAGATTTAAAAACTTATCTTGAGTGCTTAGTATCAATACAATGTTTTAGAACTAGCTATCAACTAGTTGAATGTTTTTTAATGTACACCAAATGTTTCCCATCAATTTCAAAGTCAATAAATGAAAATGATGCAGTCCTATTAGTTTTATTTAGTATGTACTTGGTTGAAATACATATGTGTAACATATTAATGAAGCCGTAATCATTTAATTAACATGGCTGTTTATAATAACTAAGGAATTATATTTCTGATGCTAGATTTCAGAAACGATTTTAAATACGTTACAACACAGTAAGTGTCGTAAACAGTCTCAGTAAGTGTCGATGTCGTAAACAGTCGTAGTAAGTATTAATGATGTCAATAAACAGTCGTCTCAGTAAGTACTTATGATGTATTAAAAATTTAAGTGCCAAGATGTCACTAAACAGTCGTAGTAAGTGCTAATGTCATAAAGCAGTCTCAGTAAGCGCTTATGATTTCATAAACTAATCTAAGTGCTAATGTCATAAAGCAGTCTCAGTAAGCGTTTATGATGTCATAAACTAATCTAAGTGCTGATTGTTGTGGCCTGTGGGCGGTCATTGACTTGTAGTTCCAAACTGTTGGTAGACATCTTAACCTCTGTAGGATATCATATTTTAACTTGTAAACTTTGAAATAACTTGAATAACTTCTTTGTGAACAAAACTAGATATAATATTTTATACTCTAAGACAAATTTAACTTGAGATGACATGAAGTAAATGTAGAAGACGTGGGTAATAATATAACATTATATTTTGAACAAACTCTAACTCATTACAAAAACACGTCTTTTTAGTCTGGCATTCTGAAGTCGTCTATTGTACCTAAAACCTCTTCTTACCGTCACCATTTAAACTAACACTCACACATTCCATAACACAATGATCTCATAAAACACTATAAGTAAGTGCTAATGATTTTATTAAACAGTCGTAGTAAGTGCTAATGATTTTATTAAACAATCGTAGTAAGTGTTAATGATTTCATTAAACAGTCGTAGTAAGTGTTAATGATTTCATTAAACAGTCGTAGTAAGTGTTAATGTCATAAAAGTTTCAGTGAGTGCTAAATATGTCTTAAAACCTGCTAATGAGGTCTAAAATCCTTCTCTTTAAGTGCCGAGTCTTCTTTGAAAGTAATGAAACTACATTTCAGAAAACATTCGGAGCAAATCTAAATGGCATATCCATTAGTTCATCGTTTATACCTCATAAAAATTGTATATGAAACCTTCGGAGCAAACCTAAATGACATATCCATTAGTTCATCGTTTATACCTCATAAAAATTGTATATGAAACCTTTGGAAGTAAGACTAAGACTAAGACTGCTTTATTGATCCTTTCGGAAATTTGTTGTAATTACAAGGACTCGTTTCTCATATAAAGACAACACAACAGAAAAATACACATAAATACAACAGACAACATAAAGAGTTCATTCAGCGACTACACACAGGTATCTTGGTGCATTTCATGTTCCCTGATCAAAGAGTGGCGGTGATAGAGTCTGACCGAGTGAGGTACAAACGAGTTTTTGTACCGCTCCGTTCTTGTTTTGATTGACAGCAGTCGCCCACTTCGCGACGACCTGGCGTAGTTCTGATGGAGCGGGTGGCCGTTGTCTTCCAAGATTTTTTCGATTTTTCTTAGGCACGTTTGTTCAAAAAGTTCCTTTAAATGTGGTAATGTTGTGAGTGTAATTTTTGATGCTTTTTTAATGATGTTTTCTAGACGTCGCAACAGTTTAGATGAGGCGTTGCCTTGCCAACAACTTATTCTGTATGTTAGCAGATTTTGTAAAGTCGCGAGTAAAATGTCTCAAGGATCTTCTTGTTTAGTTTAAAGCTATTGAGTTTGTATAGAAAAAAAGAGTCGCTGGGCTGTTTTCTTTGTCAGAGTTCCAAGGTGGTCTTCCCATGAAAGCTTGTTGATGATAACGCCTAGATATTTATAAAGTACTTTGTATGCCATCGTTTTATACCGCAGAAAACATTCATACACAGCAAACATTGACACTAGAATGAATTCTCGTTGACAGTGTGCAAAAGATACACAGTCCCTTAAACATTTTGGTTTTAATGTTTACATTACCGCAAAAGCAAAGTAAAACCGAAAGAAAATTCAATAGTCAAATAAAACAGCGAAAAAGACAATGACTATAGATCTATTGTTTTATTGTGCTATAATTTAGACGTTAATAAAGTTATGATAATTAAATACATTACAGTTATAATAATATTGAAATAAACAATTATTTGTTAAAAAGAGCGTGAAGCAATGAAATATAAAATTGGAATATGAAATATCTTTCCTAACTTGATAAACTAGATATAATATACATAATTATAGAGTCATAAGTAGTCATATTATTAATCACTAACAATGATAACTATGATATCAACAAGACATACATGCCAAAAAAAGACGTCTATGCTTCTTTTAAAGTCCATGCAACAATTAGTCCATGCAACAATTAGACGTCCACCATGTTTTAACATGAGTTTTATTACTCTTGTAGCTGTGGCATTAGTTGAGACATCTTTTCTTGTATATGTATTCATAAAATAATTTTTTTTAACAAAACATTATGAAGCATTAAATCATATAGATGGTTGGTCTATGTACATTAACAGGACAAGTTAAATAAAATGAATTAGAGACAGTATCAGTAAAAATAGTGAGTGCGCCTAAAAAGTTCCCTAAAGATTAAAACTCGGAACTCAAGACACTTAATAAAGATCACCCCCCCCCCCCCCTAAATCTGCTCTTGTTTGGAGATAGATAATACAACAATATTTTTTTAACAGCATCCCATTCATCAGGTCAAAGAACAGAAAGCAATAGGGTTACCAGGCATCTGTACGTCCAAAGTAGGGCAGAAAGAAAGGACACAGCTTTACAAGCTATGACACACACACACACACACACACAAAAACATGATAAAGAAAAATTTAAAAAACAATGTAGGCTGCTTACAAATTAATTAATGATATTTTATTATCATTTCACAGAACTAGTGCTAAGTCTTTTTTCCTATTGTGAGAAACATTGCCTCTGCTCTGATCAATGGAGAATCTACTTCTGTCTTTTGTTCAGCGTACCGTTACGTCTGATCTGATCTTAAATATACGCAAACACTCATTAAAGATGTTAAAAACGTGACAACTTAAAATGATCTTTTTTTGACCTGTCAATAAGTTCATGTGACAGTACTGGTCAAACTACAGAACCATTGTTTATATCAATACCCTATTACCTAGGAATATTCCTTTAAGAACAGTGTGTCCGAGTTAATTATGTATAAGTGAAGTTCTGTGTTTAAACCAGAAGATAGGAAGAATTGAATTCTACTGTCCGATAATGTGTAGTGTGAAGTAAGCAAAAATGAAAAGGCAGACGTTTTAGTTTTTAGACAAATAACTGTCGGACGGAGGACACGACCTCAAAAAGGAGGACATGTTCTGGTAACAATAGAAATAAATACATATGTTATATAATAGCTAATCTATTATGAGACAGAGAGCGAAACTTCTTTCTAAAGGGAAGCTAAAAATAAGAGAACAAAACTAATTCTTGTATTTAGTCCACTACAAGAACTAAACTACATGTATCCAGTTATGAAGTGTAGAGCTCAGTTATGTATACATGGCTCCTTCTGTCTCGTAAGACAATGGATGCGCCCAGATGAGTCACTGGCTTTGGTTACGTCTTGAGACGGGGCAGAATCTGGAGTGGCTGATCAAGCCAATTCTGGATCGGCAGAGTTTGCCACAGTTCGAGCATTTATATTCATCTGTCCTAGGGCTCACTGACAGGGCAGCTTTCTTTTTCTTTCTCTTGACCGATGCAGCTTCATTTCTTTTGCATTCAGCAAAGTTCGTACCAGCACGTACACTCTATCTCCATGCTGTCCGGTCTTGGGCTATCTCCTCCCACATACTTTGGTCGATGCCCATGGCTCTCATGTCTCGCTTGCAGACATCTCTGTAAGTTAGTCTTGGGCAGCCCTTGGGTCTGGCTCCCTCTGATAGCTCAGCGTACAGGATGTCTTTAGGGATTCTTCCATCTGGCATGCGAGTGACATGACCGAGCCAGCGAAGTCTTCTCTGTTGAAGGAGAGCATAGATGCTGTGTATGTTGGCCCGTGTCAAAACTTCCTGGTTGGTGACATTTATGCATTAAACATTATAAAGACTAGCTGTTGTCAACTTGTATTTTAAATTCAAAACAGAAGCCATGCCGTCTAAATGCATGCTATGATTAGTATTTGAATTTATATCTTTGCTCAGCCACCTGAATCACTTAGTACATTTAAACACACATTCACGTAGAACATCATTTGTTGCTTGACAATGAAAAAGCTATTTCTAAAAAAACGAATTATGTATGATATTAATCAACAATCAATTATGTACACCTAACTACTGCCTTTTTTTTTTTACCTTGATTTGTTCACGCTGTAATAATACACAGTGAAACTTGTCCATTGTGTTATAGTTTACCCAATGACGAAGCTATTAGATCTAACCTTTTTTTATTCGGAATTATTGTATTTAGCAGATAGTGCTAGGTAACATGAATGTTCATTGTCCCTTGGTTTGTTTTAATAGCACCGTCAAAGAATTAATGCTTTATCGCTAAATTCGACAGCCTTGTTGTTAAGACTAGACTAAACTTGTCTGTCTACTAGTTTAGCCAGTAGATCTACGACAGAAATTTCCCCTCTATATCGCTGGCCAAGCGGAGGAACTTGGTCTCTTTCAGGGCCGACACAAGCTCGTTCACCGTGGCCTTCCGGTGAAACATTAACCATTTGGACAAACTTTTGGCGGCTAGCTCTTTCTCGGTGACGTCATGCTTGGCCCCAATGTAGTCCAGCATTGAGATGTCGTGGTTCCGCTTGTCGGCGTCACGAACAGGGACAAAAGGCAGCTTGGTATAAAGTTCTCTCCAGTGCTTCCCTATACTGGCCGCGTACTGGCAGGCTTCTGTGATATGGCGACTTCCTCCTACACAAAAACAAATGCAATGACTAAGTCAATAATAACTCAATTAAAGGACAAAGTACTTTTAAAATAATTTAGATCACAATATCATATTTAGATTAAAATTTAGATGTAGAAAAAAAACCCAACAACATTGGACTGCATTGGACCAAAGAGTAGTTGACGTTATTTTTTTTTTAAATACATGTTAATTATAATGAAATTATTATGGAAGAAAGGCAAATAGGTGTTCAACGTTGTCTCATCTTGGACTAAAAAACACCATTACTGCTTTTGATACCAGGTGGTATTTAGTGACATTGCAATTTTTTTTTTTGCATCTGAATAATCAACTTCCAGTTAAGAATAAAAAAATATGGAAATATTGATTAGAAATTCGCACGTGAATTTTTTTTTCAATGAACCATTTTTACATTGGTTCCTATTTTGCAAAGCTCAAAGTCAAATGACGTAAAGCTCGTGTGTTTCAGCGACCAACCGTCTTTACTTCTCCCATACAACTCGGAGAAGCCCGTACAGCTCGGAGAAGCCCATACAACTCGGAGAAGCCCCTTGCTTTTGTCATGTGTTGAAACGCACATGCTACTAGCAACCGCCTAGTTTTCCCCAAGACTTTTAAAAGCGAGGATTTGAGCATCTCCAACTTGACATTGAGTAGGTCACGTGTTAAACCTCTACCGACTGCTTAACTTCGCAACGAATATTTCTAGTATTAACAAACCCTAGGCATTGCTTTAACGTGGCGCTCGGGTGGAAACGGTCGTTAAAAGAGATGGTTAGATCAATAGGGAAGCAAAACAGAACCCCCCGTTTGGGTGCCTAAGGATTGAATCTATTGCACTGACTTGGTTGGAAGAAAGTATCAACAAACATGTCACTATTCACACACCGTTCCTCAAAGCGCCGTTTTTTAGGCTGATATTGTACAAAGAAGGAATATCTGGAGTTTTCCCGGTGTGCTCAGCCTTTGGCCTCGCTTCTCACCGGAGTGTCTGGCCATACGAACCATCAAAATAGGGATGTAAAAATTTACAACTGCTTGGATATTTCCCATACAGAAGTTTGTCCAGACAGACAGATGTAGGCAAGCTTCTATAGGCCTGGAGTTCCAATAGTCTTAGAATCAACTCTTAAGACAATAACAGAGAAGTTTTAACAAACCTGATTGCGAAGCCTCCTGTTTCTGCTTGTCCCGCATGAATCTTCTGTAAGCTTCCTCGGACAGCTTCATATCTCTAATCTTCATCAGGATATTGTTCTGTCTGTCAACATTTGCAATCCTTTCATGGACGCTTCGAATCTCTTCCTCCAGTTTGGAATTTTCTTTGATAATTTCTTCTTTTTGATGTCGGAAGGTAACTGCATCAACCTGATACACAATCATCATCATCATCAAACATGATACACACTCAAACATGATACACAGTGAAATATGATGCACAATGAAATATGATAAACAGTGAAATATGATGCACAATGAAATATGATAAACAGTGAAATATGATACACAATGAAATATGATACAGTAAAATATGATACACAGTGAAATATGATGCACAATGAAATATGATACACAGTGAAATATGATGCACAATGAAATATGATGCACAATGAAATATGATGCACAATGAAATTTGATACACAGGGAAATATGATGCACAATGAAATATGATGCACAATTGTCCACGAATCACAATCAAACACGATACACAATCAAATGATGAAATAGTTAACAATTAATAGAAACGTAAATGTTTGTTACATTATCGATTTTTTCATTTTCACGGGAAATGTTTCAATGAGAAAATAGATTTAATTCATAAGAAAATGAGTTTTTGAAATCTCCCCAATTCTCCGTATTTTGGTATCCTCATTAAAATCGTAATCTTATTTAACTCTTTCTCGCCGTAATTATTTGTTCACATTTTGGAAGGAATTCTTCATTTTGCTCATTATTATTTCACTCCCCTGTTATGATTGGGCTTCAATAGCTTTGTGGTTTGTTATCAGAAAATGTTGCATTTGGTATAGCATTAAAGGGGACTGCATGCTCTTTTTATATAATTCAAAGTCAAGTTTAAAAAAGTAAACATTAATTTAATTAAATGAGGTCAAAATCAACGATGGTATCGTCGATAAGGAGGAAAGAGTTAAAGACGTAATTTTGTTATAAGTCGTAATCTTGTTATAAGTTGTAATCTTGTTATAAGTTGTAATCTTGTTATAAGTCGTAATCTTATTATAAGTCGTAATGTTGTTATAAGTTGTAATGTTGTTATAAGTCGTAATCTTATTATAAGTTGTAATCTTCTTATTTCCGTGTTCTTTTCATAATCCTTATGAAAGTGTTTCACACATTTTTTCCAGTGGGCCCCTCAAAATGTCCTTCGCCCCTCCCCCCTTAGCCAACTTGAGGCTGGAGGATCGCTGAAAGCTATCAAAGTGAGGTCCGGAAGGGTTTCACGAAGGTGATGAGAAAAAAAAAGTGAAACTACAGACACACAATTATAACACATTTCTAGTTATTCTTTCTACAGATGTGCCATAGATATTCATTCTATGTGTGGAATCCAAATATGCGGAATGAACTTTCAATAAAGTTAGTTCATCTTTTTTTTTTTTTTTTTTTTAAATTGTTAAGTAGATAATTTGTTTGTAAACTAGATCCATTCTATTCTGAAGATAGTAATAGTTAGGAGAACTTTGACCGTTCTGACATAAGAAAGCCAAAAAAGACTCTAGTCAGTGG